CCTCTATTATTTATCCTTTGGTTGAACAGAAAAAAATTGTTACAAAATCAGCATAATTGATCCTCTATAATATCATATTTAGCTATCACATATTTGATATTATTATAAACAGAAATAATATTGTAGAATACACGGAACTGGTCAAAAGTATTATTATCAGTAAGGGGACTTGTGGAGATTGCAATATTTTAACTGCCGAATTCACGAATGAATCTAAGCTGATGAATCTCGTGCTAGGAATAAACGGCCGTCCAGTGCTTCAAGGTTTTCAGTGGTTATCTGACTTAGATCGACTCGTGAATTCAACCGTTAAAAGTATTATTGTTTTGTAGTTAAACATATAGCATTAGAGAAATCCATTTATAATAGGTTGAAATTTTTGTGTCGAATTTCTCACAGTATTCAATAATTTGACGTTTAATAAAACTATTATTATTATTATTTAGTATTGTTTGTTTGAACCTTCCCATCGATTTGTTAGGACTGCAACTGGTCAGTCTCTAATTGGCATATGTGCATGCTGTGCGTATTGCCTCGATATAGCCTTAATTCACAAGCATGGTAAGCAGAGATGGATAGTGGCTAGCAGTGGAATCCAGGACGCGCGTTTCGTCCTATTAGAGACTGACCAGTCGCAGTCTTAACAAATCGATGGGAAGAATCAAACAATCAATACTGGGCGAATTTAAACTTCACCTCATCGCACAAGCAAGTGGCTATCAGGACTCAGTGGCCGAGTGGATAATGCGATGGCGTTTGAAGCGAGGGTACTGGGTTCGAGTCCCAGAGTGAACATCAACTCTGAGATGCAGGTACATCCAGCTGACGAGTCCTAAATAGGACGAAACGCGCTTCAAACTGGATTCCACTGCTAGCCACTATCCATCTCTGCTTACCATGATTATTATTATTTCTATCATCAGTACTGAAATACTAGAATGTTGCTTATCCAATTATTAATTTGCCATCTTCATTACTTAAATCGGGACTTTCTTTCCAATTTTATCTTCATAAATTGAGTTTATTTGTAGAGTGTGTTCATCGTTAATTGACATCGTTTGTAAAACTAATCATGGGATATGACAATGTGTGAAATACCTTCAGATCATTGATTGGAAATGCAATTCATACATCAATACAATAGTTTTTGAAATAATGGGAGAAAGTTTATAACTTAGATGAACACTTTTGGTTGTATTGTGTTCTATAACCGTTGATAAGTTTAATTTTGAAGCTTTTATTGTCGTTCTAATCAACATCATCAGCGCTCACCACTCAACACAACGCAAACGATAGAGCTGAGTTATATCGATGTACTAAACTTCGTATTAATTATTGTTTATAACATTTGATAACTGTCTTCAGGCTTCTATTTACACGGTAAACTGTAAGAAAGTAGTTATTTCATGATTTATTCTCTAGAAATTAACACTTCATAGAAACTTCATACACAATGTTATGAAAGTCACCTACATAAAGTTAGAGGAGATAAAATAAGAAAAATTGTATGTTAAATGATAACTCACTTGAGTGTAGTACATTTGTGTAGTGTAGATGCATTGTGGACATCATTTTATGTTACGTATTCCAACTTTGTTAATCTAATGTTCATACGTTAAAGCTTTTATATTTTATTTAGAAACAAGTTAACAGTGAATTGATGGAGTGTACTCATTGTAAGCAATAAAAATGTCTTAATTCGAGTATGTAATTTAGAATGAAATAGGAGTCTAGTGGTTGAACTGTATTCAACTTTTACCTAAGGTCACATATTCAAATCTCACTCCACTTGAAATGGTTTGAGTAACTCGAATAATACGTCTCAAAGCTCTATTTATGTAAATTTGTACTTGATCAATGAATAATATTAAATAATATGGAAAGCTTAAATTACTGTTCAATGCTTCATCATTTTCAGATATTGACATTATTATTTTGACTGTTTTAATTCATTCGCTTTCCCTCGCGTTGTGCTTCTCTAATCTCATCTTCTTTCGCTTTTTTCTCGTTACTCTGATATAAAATGTACCAACTTAAACTTTATACACCCACAGTTTCATGTCAGATTCTACGTTTACACATATTTAGTCAGTCAGTCAGTCAGTTACAACGTAGGGCCAGGCACATTTATGCATCGGTCCAAGTTGCCATACCTCGTTAACACAACAAGATGAACATCGAATTCATAGAAGTAGTTAATTTAGTGGTAGTAATATATAAAAGAAAGGCTGTATATAAGGTTATAGTATAGGAAGAAAGACAGATATGAAGAAGTTTTTATCTCAAGGTTTAAGGGAAGATAAAGAGTGTATACACCTACGTCATTGTGATCGATTCCGAGCCATGTCACCTAGAGTCTTCAACTATTGGTTACGATAGTCACGCGGACCCTAACCAAGTAGTCTGCATCTACAAACATGGCTTAGACTAGAAGTTAGTGACTTGAAGTACACATATTATATTTACTTATTAGATAATCGATAATTAGAATGTACAAACACGCACATACATGAAGAAGAAGTTACTTACTCTTTTAAGAATGTGCTCAAAATTCATAATGAAAAATTATAGGATAAAACTTAATAAAAAAATGACACATTCATTAAATTCCATTATTCTTTCAGTATGTTTTTCTTTACTCCTCGTATCAATTATATTACGTTCTTTTTTTATTGTTGAAAGAAAACGGTATCTATGTGTTTATTGGTTTGTTTGTTTAAAGCCAATTGTGAACAATTCCTTTTGCAAAAAAGTATTGTGAAAACTATACCCGAAGCATTTACAAAGTCTACATTCCTTTCCAGGTCAACCATTTATCTGTCATAAACGTCAAGTTTGTTTGTTTTGTTTTTTTATAGTATTTCTGTGTATCTTTGCTTTTTTTTTGTGTGTAGATGTGGGTGTGCATGTCAAGTCATTTTATTGTTGTACAAGAATAGTATTAGTGTAATTATACCGAATCATCATAGTGTTAAAAAAATGACTGTTTTTTATGAATCCAAAAAAATTTTCCTTCCACAAAAAAAAGATGAAAGAAACATGAGATGGATTGAATTCACCAAGTTGAATAGTTTTTTTTTTTGATTTAATAATTGATGATAGATTAGAATGAATCGTTAGAAGGAGGTGTGTTACACTTGTTTCGGTATTATTATTTACGGTCATTATTATTATTATTATTATTATTATTATTATTATTATTATTATTATTATTATTATTATTATTATTATTATTATTATTATTATTAGTGTTATTGCTACCACTAATTATACATTGCGTATTAGCATTCTCTTAATACTGAAATCTATTTTACAATGTTGATTTGTTTAGTCTTGATATACTACATATTTGTTGTTTGTTTTTATCACACACACACGCAATTCTCTATTCATCAAAAACTTAATTAATTAATTAATGTGTCTCGACAAAGTTCGACCCCTTAACATATTATAGTTAAGCTTTAATCATTTGGGTAAAAAAAACTTTATGCTTAATTTTACTAGGAATGAATAAATAATTAACAAAACTACTTACATGATGTTTATCACTAATTGGCAAACAGTTTTGAGGGGAACATTGGTCTATTATTGTACTAAAGATTTTATCAGGTTACTAATATTCATAGATAAATGGTAAGGTAACTTGCTCAACTACTATACTTCATATGATCTGATTAAATATTAACACAACTTTGTCTTGGAGAAACATTTTGACTTTATATGGAGGAAAATGGTTACTAGACACTTGTATTGTTTACAAAGGCGCTCAGATCGGTTATCATTTTGATAATATCTTTCTCTAACATGCTTACACAAACTCCCTCGGAAATTTGAGAGGGTATCATTAAACGCCTACAGTCATAAATCCCAAACATGGATCTCCAGGGTTTCTGTTAATTTCATGTAAAGCGTGATCGAGTTCACCTGGTAATCATTTACAGCCATCAAAAGGGTAGTCACATCTATGGAAGAGAATTAAGTCCCTTCAGTGTTACAAGTTTGTTATGACTTTGAAAGATTACAGGTATGAATTATAGATTCTAGTGTATACTATTGAATGTCCCTAAGTTTCAGTCATTAAACAGTTTGCACAACCATGTCGAGTCACTTATTTTATTAACTATACTTACAAAATATTCTGTTGCTCAAGTTTAATTAATTCCAAGTCCTAAAAATCACGACGCTGGTTATCTTTTAAGGAACGATGAGCTTAGCATCTCGGAGTACAACATAATGTTTTGGCAATTAGTTATACGTTTTTACATTATAATCTATGTTGATAGAACTAAGTCAGCATTGATAATTGAGTAGAATGTCATCCTATCTATTAAAGAGACCATATGTTGCACAGTTCTTCTTTATAAATCTTAAGTTCTTTAATTTAACGGTGATCCCGAATACAATTTTACTAACTCATATTTTTCCATCACGTTTCTCTTTTTTAATTGGTTGTTAACTAATTTTATGTGTGCTCCAAGGTTATGTTTTCGTTACTATATATACAGTGTAGTATTACATCAGTTTGTCTGTTTGAATAACAAGTTTTACTGCACTCTCAACCTTTTTCTGTGTCCCTTCGTAACTGAATATTTTTGTGGGGTGTTTGTTTGTTGCTGTTTCATTGAGTCGTAGAATACGTTCGTATTAGAATAAAGTTGGTCGTTTTTTACCTAACAAGTACCATAAGCCTATACCGAACAAACTCCGATACTCAGCAATACCATGTATTTTATCTTTGTCAACAATTTACTCTCTAATGACGGTGTCTCTGGCTTGTAGCGCCAAACGACTCATGCTTCAGTTAATGTTAAAAACAAGCCCCCCTCCTTACACAGATTGCTTTTGAGTACTGTTAAGCTCATTACTGATATCCATAGTTGCCTGCCGATCGTTTTATATTTGATTTGTTTCAGTCCCTAACCCCCTCTTCAAATGTACCAGCAGTAATGTTCATTATGTTTCTGTTAATTTCATATTGTTTTCTTTTTGGTTACTATCAGGTCTGTTGGAGTTCTTACATATTATCTACTTACTGGAATCTCTCCATTTCTTGGTGAAGATAAATATATCACAATGCAAAATATTACTCATGGTACAATTACGTATCCTGATTCCCTTTTTAATAATCGTTCACCCGATTCAATTGACTTTATTCAGCGCCTTCTTCAACGTTCACCGACGTAAGTGTTCTGTGGTGCATACATGTTTACTATTCTCAGATGTAAAAAAATTGATTTCATTGATGATTTGGGTAGTATTTTGTTCATCTTAAAAATGTTACTGAACAATTAGAACAGATAATGAAGATATCAAGCTAATTTTATTTTTTTTCCATTGAAAGACAGATGAAGCTAAAAATGAATAGAATTTTTATTGTATATTTTCTCAACCGTAGTTGCTATTTTTACTTGGTGATCCGGTTCGCCTATCGTAGTGACCTGATTGAGTTATATTGGCTGGAACAAATAATTCTTTAGGTCCGACTTTTTAAACCTGGTCAATTGTGGAACAGTAAGACTAAAAACAACATACTTATTGTCCAGGAGGATAAGTCGTACTGAGGTGTGATGGGAGTAAGGTATTTACCTCAGATAACCATCATCTGCAGCGATGTTGTCTTTTTACGACAGAAGGGAGACAATTGGAAGAGTTCTATCCTAGGATTGTTACATCTCACCTTACCTCACGGATTACGGTCTCCAGTGGTAAGACCTTTCGAGGCACGGAACTAGTACATTGCAAGCGTCTCATCTACCTTGAGGAGTTCTTCCTTAGGCAGTGTGGTCACGCTTCCAGACCTCTTCGTCCACTTTAATACAATTCCCTTTTCTGGTCTCCCATGAAGAAATACTTTTCCATGGTGTGGACAACCGGAAAGTGAAAACCTCTCTCACTCCTCTAATTGCACTGATCTTGCGTTTCAGATTATATGAAGCATCTTTCCGATACTTTTAAGGCACAACAGATTGATTTTGAAATAATTGAACTGTTACTAAAGCTTAAGCACTTGTGTTTATATGGTGCCCTGTAATGATCACACCACTTTCATAAAACATCTCATATTAACTGTTAATTTTGATTATACAAGGACATATTTATTCTGTTATTTATGTATTATTATTGTCCGCATTATACTGTTAATTTCGTGCTCTAAGCTAAATTATTCACGACTACGAACATAAATCGAAATTAATACGACTTTGTCGGTTTTTTATTTATCTAACAGGTAGGTACGTAGGTAGGCAGGTAGATAAATAAATCAAACCCATTGAGTATAATCTACTATTTAATTTCATGTGTATGCAAATTATAACATTTAGATATTAGTTATTATTCTGCATGTTTATTTTCATGATAATAATTCTTATGTGCGTAACAGTTTGAAATTGTATCAGTCTTTTTATCTTATGATTGAACAATGTATTCACTCAAATAAACTCGGCAACCGAGTTGGTGGACACGGAAAGTTCACCTAGGGGAGTTGGAAAACCCTGATTCCAAACCAGTCGTGCACATGGGCCCCAGTATTTTGAGGGAGAATGGCATATGAATCAGTCGTTGGTCACCGGCTACCATGGGACTTCATCTCCTCACGATGCTTTACTGCCTTCTGGATCAGATCTTTAGGTCAAAGGCTCGGGGTGTTTCCCCCTAAGAAAACCATCTGCTTCAGTTGGGGCACCTGGGCAGTATCACAGACCCCACACAAATCAAATGAGATTTGTACGATGCATATGTATCTAGTGCTCTTTTGTATCAATATTTATGTGTTCAAATAATTAATAATAAGTACAGAATTACACATTGCATGTGTTTGTATTTACATTTTGTAGTTTTGTAGTTTGAAAACCTTTATTTAGACGTTAAAAAGTTACAAAGCTTCTTTTTTATCCCTACTATATAAGACCTTTTAGTTTTAAAAATCTGATTACATACCTAAATTTGACAGCTCTTAACCTTTTTTCCAAATTACTTTTATGCTAGTGACAATTGAACGTCGAGTAGGTATAGGTAACACACGTTTTAAATAATGTTAGTCTACAACTCTACTTGGTGGGTACCACTATACAAAAGCGCTGCTTCGGTTTCACCTTTGAAAATAAGAACCACTTAACGTAGCGTTTGCACTGTTTTCCTTTATCGATACGAATTGTTCGATTTGTACATGAATTGTAAGCCGTTAAAACAATCACTTACATAATAACTTGGATCATATTCAAGCTGGCTTTACACAATGGAACGAGGGGCTGACGGTTAATTCACTAGGTTTTCTATTGATCGGTCGCAGGTCCGAACTTCACTCCACCTACTTTAGTTTGACCAGCCAGCCATAATCACTAGGACTCACATAAACAGTTTGATAAAATTAAGCCTTTTACAATTAGTGAAGCTCAACCATCTTAGTTGTGAGGGATTTATCTACCAATGGAAATTAATAATCATCGCGTTCTGTATTGAATAATTTTTTCTGGTTTGCGTTTTTTAGCGAGTTGGTTTCCTACCTTATTGTGTCACAAGACAAGCCCTCACACGGAATCCTCAAGGCCAAAGGAAAAGAGGAAGACCAAAGAACACATTACGCCGAGAAATAGAGACAGACATGAGAAGAATGAACAAAAATGGATAGAACTAGAAAGAAAGGCCCAGGACAGAGTGGGTTGGAGAATGCTGGTCGGTGGCCTATGCTCCATTGGGAGTAAAAGGCAATAAAAATGAAAATAAAAATGCATTCTGTATTTGAAATTAAGTAGATTTTAAACATTCAACCCTAGCGAATCCCTACTCGACCCCTTCTGAAGGCATCCCACTGTCTGCGGAACCTAATAGTACTGACAGCGTTTTGGATACGTACTGACGATGAGTCCTAAATTAATATGAAACAACTGTCTGGCTTGATTTTTAGTTTTTTCCCAGTTGATATATATTTGTGACAAAAATCAACATTAAAATACATATATATATATATAAACAAACTTTATTCCCAAATTAAAATTTTCATCCCCGTATTTATATGTGATAGCGAGAGTGACAGAAGAAACAATCTTAGTAATGCTTTAAAACGACTTCCTTTTATCGATGACAGACATTATTATTAATTATTATTATTGTTATAAGTAGGATAATACGTTACGCTTGTCGCAAACATCATGCTTATTCATATTATATGTGAATCATATATGATTCACGATGTAGTTACTAGTTCGTTGTTCTTATGTTTTTTGTGTGTGTCAATTCTTGTCTGGGTTATTACTGATTTAAATGATGATGATGATGGTGACCATTTTATCTAATATTAACAACATGAACAAAGAAAAACAATTTAAATGAAGTCTGCCTTATTTTTAGCTGAATTATTATAATTACAAATGTATAAGGGAAGATATTTAGTTGGTAGGTGAATAGAGCGAAGAGTCACTACTGTTTGTTAATATCTATGATCGTCATAAATTTAATGTTCCTTCACATTGTAACGAATATTAGTACTCCCAAAATTAAACGGGAACTGATTATCTATTGTTTAAAACAGCAAGATGTTATCCATGAAAATATTCACAGTTATTATCTTTACCATAATGACTAGTTAAATAATAGAGAGGTGAACAGTTGCGACTTGAATAGCTCATTGGTAACATCACAGACTGTGAACCTGGACAACTCAGATGTTCCATATTTTTTATCCAATTATCTCCATCCACCCTGAACAATAGAGATTTGGTATTATATGATGAAATTTGTTTTCCACTTTTTCTTTCAAATGTTAGCTTAAATGTTTGTATATGCATGTTTTTACGCATTCATACTAACTGATCGTTAAATAGTAATGGTTACTGACATTATGTTTTCAAATTCCTAATACTGACTAAATTCTATCGATTACATTGCATATTGACTGTTGATCCACTTGCGTGTACACCATCCTTCGAGAGTAAGTGGTTGAAAGCAAACGCCAAGAAGCTGATATTTGACGTAGGTTTCATGTTAGTTGGCCCTCTTCAACAAGATGAATATGATCTCGAATTACTAATACTAATGGGAACATTGCAACCTAATCAATAGAATTTGATTTGGGCTAAAGTGCTAGACAAACATTATATTGGTTACTACTCAGAGATCAGCCAATTGTAAATGTTTTGTTGGTATATGGCTAGACACAAGCAACAAGAAGATCTGTTTTTATCCAGATTATATGCCAGCTGTCACTCATCATCATTAAGATATCTCTTCAATTTTGAAATAATTGATGCTTATCGCCTCCCCTCCCACTGCCCATGAGATATCTTGATTTGAATTATCTAGTTCCAGTCAGTTATTGTGAATGAGTGTTTGTTGCTAATTGGTTCCACCCATTTAACATCAAAACATTGCATACATATTTGTTTATTATCCGTAATTTTAATTGTATGAGTGATTTTTTTTTTTTGAAAACAACATACGTTCGTCACCCACCATCAGTCTATCACATTCCATTCCTGTTATACCATTTTATCTTTCCCTTACATTTTTCTTATTTCCCTCTCTCACACTTTATCATTTTGTTTATGCATTTAGTTAATAATCACTACAAAAACTATGTTTGTGATTTAAGTAGTAAATAAAAAAGCCCTAGAAAAATGGAAATTCAACACAATTCATTTCTGAAATAATAAATGATATTTGGTAGTGGTAGTATTAATACGACTATTTTTCTTTTTTTCTTTCATTTTCACAATTTTTTTCATGATTGTGATTATCGATTTGTTGCTGTATTTTTGGCACACGAATTCTTTTTTCTCCCCAATATTCTTTCATTTTACTTCCCTGTTCTTTTTTCCCTCTTGTGTTTTTTTTTAATTGTTTATTTATTTATTCTGATATTGAATAATTGTATAATAAGTCATGTTTATCGATCTATAACGAAATTATATGTATGGGTGTATGCATATATATACATATGAAATGATCACTTCCATTGGCTTAATCACCATACTTTTGGTCAATGCCTTATATTAATTATCAGAAGGGGTTTTGTGGAGATTAAGTATTTTCATAGTTGAAAGCGTAAGTCAATTGAAGCCAGACCACCAGGGCTCTGGCTCGAGACTTGTGGGTCCTGGGTTCGAATCTCGCGAGTGCGTGATCGTGGATGCGCACTGCTGAGGAGTTCCATAATAGGACGAAACGGCTGTTCAGTGCTTCCAGGTTTTCCATGATGGTCTAGCTTCAATTGACTCACGCTTTCAACAATGCATTATAGTTTTCTTTACATTGTTCTATTTAATTCACTTCGATTAGCATCCCAAAAATTTTGAGATGATGGGTGAAGATTTATAGCTAGGGTGAATGATTTCACTGATATTACGTATTCCAAACCGAATGACTTAATTGTAAAGCTTTCATTTTATTTCTAGACTTGTGGTGAAATTCTCATAGCTCATTTGCATCTGAAATCTATGTTGATGGTGATCATTTCGTCTTAAGAGACAGTGACAGTTTACGAGTTTTACTAACAGCTTTCAAGTGAAACAATATGGTTCCATGGGTCTGACTACAGGAGTCTGCACTTGTTTACTGAATAGTTTCACTATAATCTTTAAGATGTCAATTTCTCATTTCAGTACTATTTCATTTATAGTGTTGTAAAAAGACTCTATATTCAACTTCATTTATGTTTGTAAAGATGGTTTTCGTCACAGATACTTTACATTCAGGGGAAAAACAAACTGTTTTTGAACGCATAAAGTGTTCCAGTTTTCGTAAAGCTAGGGCTTCAATAAACCTGAGTGTACACCCTTGGACACTATTGCATAACACTAAAAAGGGTAACTTGATATCAAACCTATGAACAGTCACAAGCAAATGTTTCGCAAAAGAGTATATTTATCCATGCTATGATCGTATTTGACCATTGCAGTTTTCTTTTTGTAAACATTCAGGTTTGTTTTTACATAGTTTTGGTAAACTTTGTTTTTTGGAAAATAATTGGGTGCCGAGTATAGTGAAGTCGTTATATGTGAAAATTATATTTTAAATAATCTCAGAGAAATTACCCTGAAGAAGTTCAGACAAGTTAGCTAGACGAAACGTTGGAATTATTTAAATTTCAATCACTGAGATTATTTCAAATATACTTTTCACATATAATAAAAATTGTTTGTGTTTTAAATTTCTCATGTCGTTTAAAAAAAACACCTATTATTTGGTGTGTGTGTGTGTGTGAACTCACCTCTTCCTTACACTGAATCAATCTTCTTTGTTTCTATCTTTTTTCAAGTCGACTGTAAGTAAATTATATTTATATTGTAACAATGCAGTACATCATTAATAATACTAATAAATTTTCATTTGATCAAATCATAATTTTATGAGAATGGGTTTTGTGGAGATTTAATTTTTTTATGGTTGGAAGCGTGAGTCAATTGAATCTAGAGTTAGACATAAACGCCATCGGATGCCGACTCAGTGGTCTATCGGTTAAGTGCTCTGGCGCGAGACTGGTAGGTCCTGGGTTCGAATCTCGCGATTGCGGGATCGTGGGTGCGCACTGCTGAGGAGTCCCATAATAGGACATAACGGCCATCCACTGCTTCCAGGTTTTCCATGATGGTCTAGCTTCAATTGACCCACGCTTTCAACTATGCAAATCATATTTGTTTACTTTTTTTTCTTTTTGTTTTTACATCACACGGACACATTTTCTGTTTGGATACACCATTTTATATTTATTATTTATGTTTTTGTACACTTTCCATAGTTTATATAACTTTCTCTCTTTTATATACTTTCACTCAAATATTTTCTTTCACCTTTTGTTCCTTCTTTTTTGAAATTCCATCGCGATAGTTTACCGCTTTAGTCGGTTTGATGTTTTATTTTCCTTCTCTTTAGCGTATTTTGTAAGAAAGAAGACATTTGTACTACATTCCTCCCTCCGCTCTCCCCCATATATATATATATATATTACATAATAGCGAATGCTACTGTAAAGGTTTTATTTATTTATATCTTCAATCATAATAATAAGGATTCGAAGGTATTCGAGAAATACAAAACTTGAATAAAATATCTTATCTCTCTTTCTATAGTACCATAAACTAACTAACTAACTATTCGACTATTTATATCTATCTATCTATATATATATATTTACTTGCAATAATAATCTTGTCCAGAATGTAAGTTCTACATATTTGTCCAGAATTACACACAAATTCTTTAGATATTTTTCTAAGAAATTTAACATAGTTAACTCTATTAATAGTAAGAATATTCTTGAAATACCTTTGATCAAGATTGTTTTGCTTTGTAGTTTGATAAGAAACTTACTTAAATAAATCATATGAAATTTTCTGTAAGAAAATAGCTGAAAAGAGAAACATTTGTTTTTCACTGGTGTAAAATACTTTTTTTTTTCTGTTATTGTCAAACATGAACGTACGTTCGTACATCAGTTCGAGTTGCCATACCACATTAGCACAGAGGTGCAGTTGTCTATTGAAATCCCATAATGGTAGAAGTAGTAAGAGTATAAGCAGTAATCGGAAAGATTATCTTTTGAAGATGTTATTGAAGGAGTATAATCCAATAAAATAAATTTGGAAAGAGGAAAAAAAGAAAGAGACATGAAGAATTCAGAAGATTATAATTTGATAGAACACAAAGAGTTGATGCACCTCCGCCATTGCAAATGATTTTGAGCCATGTCATTGAAATGAGTTAGTAAAAGTTACTGAATAAAAAAATGGCTGGTTGCTTTGTATTTCTTTTGGACTTTTTAAACATTTAAGCATTAGCCCATCTTCATACGAAGAGTTATTCAAATTTCCTACTCAATTATCAATGTATTCATAACGAAAACTATGTTTGTTTAAAAATATGTTGTATGATAATAACATGATTTGAAATTTCTGTAATATCTTAATTGTAACGGAAATCTAAACATGAAAGAGATATTTTCAATGAAAGTAATAATATTGAAAAAATTTCTGTGATAAGAATAGTATTTAACACTCAAAATTTAAGGGAAGATAGAGGGTAAATGCAGCTGTTTCACAATTACCCGGTTTCGAATTATTTCATGCAATGCCTTCAACCAATGATTATTAGTATTACGTAGGGACCGGAACTAAAAAGTACACGTCTACTGGCACGGTCCAGACGAGTAGTCTCAACTAATTCATTGGTTGGTACTATTTCGTGTTATGATCATTTTTAACTTTATTCCAATATACTTCTTTGTAATTGAGAATGCCCTGGTAGGGCCGAGAGTAGGGAGAGTCCGCTCTCCCTCTCTAAATGCTCTCACATGGCCACGCGTATATAGCCTCTACCAGGCAAGTCTTACTCACTGCCTTCTCGTGGCATTATTGTTGTTCATGAAATTGAGATGACGAAAAGCGTATGACCGACGCTTTATCCGGGTTGGTGGACACACCGCGTCCACCCTGATTCCAAACCAATAAAGCACATGGACTCCAGTATCCTGAAGGAACAAACGGCGTATGAATCAATCGTTGGTGACCGGCTACCATGGAACTGCATCACTCCACGATGCTCCACTGCCTTGTGGATCAGATCTTTAGGTTAAAGGCTCGGGGTGTGGCCCCCTAAGAAAACCACCTGTTTCAGTTTGGGCCCCTGGTCAGTATCACAGACCTCACACAAATCAAATGAGATTTGTATGGCTGTATGTATCTGGTGTCCCTTTGTACCAATATTTATGTGTTTAATGAATATAAATGTAAATGAAATTGTTTTTTCATCGGAAAACTGAAATAAAATGGATTTACATTCTTGTATTTGGCAAATTCTATCCACAACTAATCAGAGAATAATTATTACATATAGGAGCACTATTCAATCATAGAATTTTATTAAAGTCTGTAAGGTATTTATTTCCACAAAGAGTTCTAAAATATACGTGTTATTCATAAAGTGATATTTGACTGTTTCTCCTCAATTATTCCATAATTATTACTGTATGTGTTTTCTTCTGTTGTACTACGAACTTGAGTAATAATTTATGTCATCAATTGTACTTTTTCTGCTGAGTTTAGTTAATGTAGGTACTTCTTTCAAAACAGAGACTCCATTTTATTAATTTACTGTGTTGCTTTATCCTTCGCTCACATTGTTTTTAATCTCTTTATCTTTATATCTCTCTCTTTCAAGACAACGTATGTCTGCCAAAGAATGTCTCAATCATCCTTGGCTCCTCCAATCATTCAATCAACCAATCATAATCGAAACAGAAATTAACCATCAATCATCAGAAACCACATTGTATAATAACGAGAATAGTATTAGTGATGATAATAACGTGAAATACGCTATTGAATTATTCCATATAGATCCAATCGTTGAAATTGTTAATGAATTTATGTCACCAGTTTGTTTAACCCAATTTATAGTACAATCTCCTGTATATATTGTTCCATATGTAGATGTTGTTAGTCAAACAAATTTTGTCAAACTATTGCCTTCACTAAAATTATGTGTTGATTATCTTCCTGTTGTCAACTCAGCATTATCTACACAATTTACCCCTTCAATAAACAACCACCCATCATCATCCGAACAGTCTATTAGAAAGATATCCAAAAAATTAATCAATGGACATTTCAATCTACTTGATAGTCTGTCCGAGTTAACCAAAATTTGTTCGATTGATTCGGACAATGACAATCGTTATGTTGATACTGAAAGGGGTTATCAGTTGATGAATAGGCATCTCATGGATATACATGATAAATCAAGATCATTAACCAGTTATTATAAACCATCCATCAACAGCTTGTGGAATTCTAACTTAGTTGAGTATAATGGTGGGGAAAAAAACAAGTCTAGTGAAAATTATGTATCAATTAGTGTATTTATTTCAAATTATTTACAAGAATATCAATTATTCTTAATGTTTTGCGACTTAAATTATGATAAATTACTTCATCGTGATTTTTATTTTTTTGAATCTGACAATACTACTAATATTGTTGGTAGTAGTTGTAGTAGTATCAAAAAGACTATTGTTACAAATGCTGAATTATTTGTAAATTTTCCATTATCGAGCAAAATGTACCACCCGAAGCAACAACAACGACAACCCAATGAAATAATGCAGAGTATAATGATCGGACATGATGAAACGAAGAAAGAATTAATTAAAATATCTAAATATACTACTGATATAATGCCGAAAGTCAATGAAATTATTCCGAAAAAATTTGTAAATTCACATATTTCTACAATTCGTATTGAATTAAATTCGTCAATATCAGAAAAATTTAAACGAATGAATTCCTCAGATGATAATTATAATTTTAATCATACGAGAGACTATTTGTCCTATGACTTTTGTAAGTTTTATGGTATTTTTAAAGTATAATTTAATTATAAAAAGAGGGTGAATGGTTTTTAATAAATAGTAAAATGAATCTGGCGTAAACATTCAATGGAAAAATGACTGTGCTACCTATTAATTATTTTAATCAATTAGTCACTTACGCCTGTCACTCCCAATGGAGCATAGGCCGCCGACCAGCATTCTCCAACCCACTCTGTCCTGGGCCTTCCTTTCTAGTTCTTTCTAGTTTTTTTCATTCTTCTCATGTCTGTCTCTATTTCTCGGCGTAATGTGTTCATTGATCTTCTTCTTTTCCTTTGGCCTTTAGGATTCCGTGTGAGGACTTGTCTTGTGATGTAGTTGGATGATTTCCTCAGTGTGTGTCCTATCTTCTTCCAGCTCTTCTTTCTGATTTCTTCCTCCACTGGGATCTGGCTTGTTGTCTCCCACAGTAGAATGTTGCTGATAGTGTCTGGCCATCGGAGTATTTTGCGTAGGCAACTGTTAATAAACACTTGTATCTTCTGAATAATGGCTTTCGTAGTTCTCCACATCTCTGCCCCATATAGTAGAACCGTCTTGACTCAATTCGTAAACAAATATTTCGTTACGAAAATAGGAAATATTGAATTTCATCTTTGTAGGAACTAATGCTCCCAAGATCACAGGTATATTTTGCTGACGAAAGCCAAATAACATGAAACCTAGGTCAAATAGAGTGCACTGTTTACTACCTTCAACCAGTGATGTTTAAATCTGCCTCACTAAACTTTACAATGAACTGCGCTATTCAGGTCTCAACTAATCTATAAGTCTGAGATAGATCTTCAATGTTTACCCTCGCATTATTACATCCAAAGTCAGCATTACGCTGTTGTTTAGACTAAATCTTTTAACAACTGTATGATTTATTTAATTTTCAAGCTCAATGTCATTACTTATTACCGCCTATAAAGATGTATTTCGATTTCTAATTCTGTGACATTCAATCTAGATGTCAAAAATACTTAAGTCTTAGTGTTTAAATAATATTCGTTTATTATTATCTGAATCTGTTAGAACATCTCTTAACTCCTAAGATGCTTTGAGATGCATATTTTTTATTGAAAAGTATAAAATTGTTATCTCATCAGTGTTATTCACTTGAAGCAATTGTGTATGAACTGGTTTGTATGAAAGGTAACAAGTTAGATTGTATATTTCGACATCTTTCCGTCGTAATTTAATATAAATAACAGTGTAAAAATGTAATACAAAGATGAATGTATGAATCTGTAACCAATAGATGTGTTATATTGTTGTTCAGTGCTGTTTATGGTTTATAAAGATGAAAACCAGTTCCTACATGACTCAGTAGGTATAGTAATGAATTAGTCGTTTTAAAATGAGTGAACATTTACTGATTATACAAAGTTCTGTATAAGTTAGACATTCAGTATATATCGAAAGTATAAAATTGATTTTATTCATTTATAGCGATTCAATATTCTCTTCCTTCCTATTCTATATCCTTATATACAACCTTTCTTTTATATATTACCACAACTAAATTAACTACTTCTATGAATTCGGTGTTTATTTTGTTGTGCTAATGAGATATGGCAACTTGAACCGATGCATATATGTGTCTGGTTCTACGTTGTAGCTGACTGAATGACTGAACTTTGATTAGACTTACATGAGAAATGCATGAAATGTAATATGTTTCGCATGAGTTTTATTAGTGTTCACTACTTATAAGTATGTCATTCGATATTATTTTGTTTAAGTAAAATCTTGGCTAATATTCTATGTGTAATATAGCATAATGCATGTTTTGGAATTGTATTTTTGTTTCTAATGTCATACACATCAATGGTATTTTATTTGCTTGTTTTTATTGACATGGGATGTTTTTAAAAATGATTCAGGTTGAAGTTTAAATCACTAATTGACTTAAGCTAGACAACTATTGGAAAAATAAGAAACATTTCACCGCTTTTTCATTTTATTATGTGGCTCTTCAGTAGTGCGCGTTCATAACTTCTTATCTTCTCAGTGAACATACCGTTAAGTTGTGCAATTGTTTATATTTTTAAAATTTTTTATCCAATTAGCGATATGTATAGCGTTAGTTGCTATGTTAAGCCCACATAGCTTATTCTGGCTTCTGAACCAGCCAATTTATTCATTCTTCTTGAGTCATATTTCGATTTTGTTAATTTTTTCACTTATCAATCCTGACTGTTTTTATATGAGCGTATTTGTGTACATTTATTCTATTCAACACACACCCATTTTTATCTGACTATAAATATTGATTAACGCTCGATTAAAATGAGTGGGCTCACTGGCCTTCTACATTGCGCATCATTTCTCTTCGTCCCTCTGATTGTCTGTACAAATCAATAAGTGTACAAAATATATGTATTCGAAATCGATTCTCTTATTTGACTTATTTGATTCCGTTATGCACTAACGCGAGTTAAATCGATGATTATATACGAGGATTGACGATATGTGTATTTCGAAAGCAGTCATTCGATAACTATCATTTGTCTAATCTAAATACAGTCAGGCTGCTAAACATATCTTGTACTTTAAAGCTTTATTTCCATTAAGATTGATATAAGGAGATACGTGGGTAACTCATAGAGATTGTCAACAGGTTTCGTGATCTTCCAAAAAGTTTCTTTTTAATAAATAATTGAAATAATAACCCGAGTTCACGAAGTCACATATTTTACACAAGTAGTTCACCTAACATTAGTAATTGATGTGACTAAAGCATGAATGTGATAGTGTAGAGTAAAATGGATTGATAATGCGAAGGAGTACTACTTGAGATGACGAATGAACTTGGAGTAGAATATTTATGAGTTTGGTTGTAGGTTTCAATAAAAGGATTATTTTGCAGGGAATTGTTTGTCAAACCCTGCGTCGTACGTTCATAAGTAATCGATTCTGAAGTTAGAGGAAATAAAAATTGATATTTAAGTTTGAATTCACAGGATACTCTACAAACATATTTAATACAGTTAATCAGTCAACGTCATATTCTTTTTAACTTCAAGGTGTATCAGGTAATATATGTGATCTGTCGTTACATTGTATCATAAATCAATTGAGAATTAGTTTTGGAAGTACTCCATACCTTCTGAATGGAAAGTACCTTTTGAGGAGCGTGTGCCTTCATTCACTTTATGTGGTTTACTACTAGAAATATTTGAAAAATTTGTTTACCTGCGTAGATATTTTGGTGCTGGTGTTAAAATCGAAAATGAAATCAATATATGCATAGTGAAAGGTAGAGCGACTTGTACATATTTAAACCATTTTTTAGCGCCAAAATAATTCTAGTTTAACTTTAAAAGGTCTGCTTTGTAGCGTGCCGGTGGTATCGATTCTGTTTTATGCTTTCGAGTTAAGGATGTTTTGCCACTCTTTGTGTTTGGTCATCATTGCTTCTGTGGAATGGACCACTTTCGGTTAAAACACCATGCTAGTAATGCTAATGGGTAAATCTTATTTTTATACATAATGCCTTATCACTATTTTCAAATTAAATGTTTCCCTTCAGTGCAACCAAAGCAGTAGTCCGCACCAGTCAATATAAACGTTGGCCGAATCGGCCTAGGTATTGTGGTGCAATGTTTGAAAATTCTGTTTTAAGTTACACGAAGTACTCCTGATGCACATTTGGAGACTTTTTTAAAATAACTCAATGTTTATATCAGCGATACAAATGAGAACATTCTTTATCAGCCAAACACTAAAAAATATTAATTTTTTAAAATTCTGATTCTCAGACTTCATTCAAATGGTTTAAAACAACACAGTAATTGTAAATGAGAGCCTAGACTATATCTTTTTGAATGAAATTTGAACATCTGAACTTATTAGTAGTAAGCCGCGTAATTCGACTACAAAGTCCACCGATCCACACCGTAAATATCAAAATTCACTATCAGTTAAATCACAACAAATATTTTATTCTTATCCTACTGCTTATTTATTTATTTGAACACATAAATAATGGTACAAAGAAGCACCAGATGCATATGCGCCACACAAATCTCATTCGATTTGTGTCAGGGCTATGATACTGCCCAGCTTCCCAAACTGAAGTAGGTGGTTTTCCTAGGGGTCCACATCCGGAGACTTTGACCTAAAGATCTGATCCACCAGGCAGTTGAGCATCGTGAGGCGATGCAGTTCCATGGTAGTCGATGACCAACGATTGATTCATACGCCAATTTTTCCCTCAGAATACTGGAGTCCATGTGCACCATTGGTTTGAAATGAGGGTTTTCCAACTCTCCGAGGTGAACTTCCCGTATCCACCAACCCGGTCAAAGCGTCGGACATTCACTTTTCGTCCTCTGAATTTCGTAAGCAACACCCTGGACACGAGAAAGCAGTGAGTAGAACTTTCTTGGGAGATGCTATATATGCGTGGCCATATGAGAGCATTTTTATAAGGAGAGCGTACTCTTCTCATTCTCGGCCGTATCAGGGCATTTTGGGGCCGTCCTACTAGATAATTCAGACAGCTTGTTATTTCAATTCCAACACAATACTACATGATACATACTACTAAATATAACCAAAAACTTTATCTTTTTTTTTAATATTACGAAACATAATAATCATCCAATCATAATTGTCTTAGATTAAGTTGTGCTTTTCTTTTTTTTTTTTGTTTTCGAAAAACGTCAGTTGACTTATTTCGATATTTTGTCTTTTTTTTTGTATTCACATAACAAAACAAACTAAACTTTTATATTCAATTTTATTTCAATTGTGGTACATTTTTTTAAACATTCATATTGGCGCCTTATTTTGTTTTAATTTATCTTCAAATTTAATTAAATATACATTTTGTTTTATCTTTTCTAATTTGTTTATTGTTTTAATATACTTTTGTTTTTATTATTTGCATGAAATTTAAATCATCTTTATAATATCAATATTTTATTTTGTTTTAATTGTTATCCAATATTTTATTTTGTTTGGATATATTCATGATAAGTTTTTTTTAGAAAAGAAAACAGATATAGTTTTTCATATAATTTAAATTTTTTCTTATATAGTTCACATCATCAATCGATTAAAGATAAACCACCACTGATAAGGAGTGACGGAAGAGTTCGTGGTTTCGGCCGTGTTTTGCCTATTAACGATCACATTCCACCTCCAGCAATTTACAACGACCAGAAGTTCCCTTCCTTGAAGTGAATTCTCAAAGGAAAATGAAAATAGACTGTTGGATTGATTATATTCTTCCTTGTCAACTCACTGAAGACATTGTTGAATGGTTGCTCAATTTCGTGGATTGATTTAAGTTACCCGTTAGCACCGTTGAATGCCGGCTCAGTAGTGTATCGGTTAAGTGCTCGCGCGCAAGACTAATAGGTTCTGAGTTTGAATCTCGCTAGGCAGGATCGTGGATGCGCACCGCTGAGGAGTCTCACAATAGGACGGAACGGCTGTCCAGGTTTTCCATTGTGGTCTAGCTTCAATCGATTCATGATCTGAAGTATATAAAATAACTAAAATCTCCACTCAACCACCTTCTGATAATTATTTTATCTGCTTACTCTTATGGTTCATTTAATTTTATAAATTTACAAATAATATCAAAGTTCTATGGAATATAAATGTTTAACTTGTTTGTTTTTCAAAATTTATTCAAGCAACCGTTAGATTCTTTCAGTATTAGGTTTCTTTTATGAATAAATCATAGTCTTAAGCCAAAAATGCTGATGAGTGCATATCATTAGACAAAATATAATTTCTTCACTAAGGCAATAGTTGCACTTCATTGATTGAAAATATATAGGGCTTTATTTTTTTGGGGAAAAATACATTTATTAGTTATTTATTCATATACTTTCAATTCGATTTGCCGATATCATATTCATATTCACTCTTTTTGATGGAGTTTTGTTCTCTAAGCTGAATGGTTTGTTCGTGGAGCTTTCATCGTTCTTCTAAACGACATCATCAGCACAAACTTCGGGTAGAAGTGAAGTGTTTAAATTTCTCTACATGTGATTCACAGCTTGTTCTGTGCATGGTTGTTTTTATTGTTGACCTTTAAGCAATCGTTATTTACTTCTTTGTTTTGGTTGTATCTCATTTTGGTTTGATTTTTGGTCCTGTATTTGTCCATAATTTTTCTGACTAGTTGATAAATTGGATTCATTTCAATGTGCTTGTTTATTACTGATTGACCTGAGTGCCAAGCTTCTAAAAATTCTCTGGTGTTTTTAGAATTGCCTCTATTCAAAATCTCTACATGTGGAGAAATTCAAACACTTCATTTCTATCCGATGTTTGTGCTGATGATGTCGTTCAGAAGAACGATGAAAGCTCCACGACCAAACCATTCAGTTTAAAGAACAAACTAAATCAAAATTATCCACTTGAGCTACAATTCTTCACCACCATCTCGTACTCACTCAGATAAGTTGTTTTATGCACGTATATATCTGTAGCAGACATAGAGCAGCCTCACTGCATAACAAAACATCCTCTATCATATAAACGTTTTTGGTACAGTCTGTAACCTTATTACCAACCGTACAAAAGCATTTTAATAAGTTGATCGAATTTCTTAGCCTTAGCTCATCGTTAAGGTATTTGAAGGATGTTGAGTGCAAGTTTAATCTAAAGCTTACTCGTCAAAAGGTTTAATTATTGAGTTATCAGTCTATTTTCTCTTCATTTAAACACTATATATATCATTGTTTATATTGATGATTCAATAAAAAAAATAATCAATATACAACTGTATTGTCATTTCTGACCCCCCTAAACAATATGAATATATATGCATGAAGAATCATGTGTAGCTTTTTTTCCGACCAAGTTGATTTTTACCTTTTTTTTTGTATTATCTTTAATTATTTGTCATTATCTCTTATACTTTATTTATGCATGTTCTTGCATTCAAATTATTCATTTTCTATATATATTATAATAAAGCATGGATTAAGCATAATCATAATGATAGTGGAAATGATCATAAAGCATGGAATTTATTCAACTCTCCTCTAATCAATTCATCTTCAATGTTGTTTTCTTTACGTAATCAACATCATCATCATTATCACCACCACCATCATCACCACCATCATCATCATCATCATTATATTCAATGCAATCCAATCATTAGCAATCAAACAATTGTCAACTTCAAACCCTTCAACAACAGTTCATTCAATCATCATGACTGCCGCCAATCAAAATACTACTATCAACAAAACCAAACAACAATTATGGACATGTCCAATATTAGTAAATTTAAATATATAAATTTACCATGTTCATACATAGTACATCGTTCACAATTTATTAAAACAAGATTATTAAATGATTTATTGAATTGGATAAATTTATTTTTAAGAAATTTATTAAATTTATTATTTTTTTTAT